GAAGTAGACAAAGTGCTCTAACGGGTCCATTTGCATTAAGTCTAAGTATTGCAAAAGGAACTCGAACCACGATCGGGTGCAAGTAATATGCGTATCCCTTTTTCCCGAAAATTNTGGGGGAAGCGGGACGCGTTTCTGCGTACTCACCTCGGTACGCGGCGTTTTGCCCGTGGGCTGTAGCGCAGGCCGCGCGGAGTCGGAGTCCGTAGCGCTACCGCCAGGGCCGCTCTCCACCGCACCGGTGTCCCAAAGTTTCCGGACCTCCTCCAGGGTGACCTCCGGCTCTATCGTCAGGGAGTCCAGGGCCGCCTGGAAAGCGGTAACCTGAAGACTCTCTTTGGACAAAATGCCAGCCAAGGAAGACGCAGCCACTTGCTTGATAATCTTGCAAATGGCCACGGACCGTGGATTGGGAGGTGGTGGGCTTGAGGGCGTTGACAGCTTGGAGAGTAACTCCTGGAGTTGCGTCTCCACACGCTGTGAAGAATTTCGTAACGATATAATGTCGTCACGCAGTTCTGCCATCTCTTGGTGTGTTCCTTCCAGGGAACGCTCCAAGGCGCCGACGCGGTTCGGCACTGACTGTCGTAAAGTTTCAACCAAATGCGCTGGCAAAGTGCCAGGCGCTTTGGCTTTGGGAACTTCCGTCGTCGCGTCAACCGCATCATTGCCAGTAGTGTCGAGGGCAGTCGCCACGTTATCAGTTGGCGTCATCGTGTCCTTAATGTCATTATCAACAGGGACAGAGGAAAGGTATTTACGAAGCGAAGCGAAGGATTGTTTCCTTAATTTGCGCTTTTTAATTTTCGCAACACGAAGTGGGTCCGAAGCGGTTGTAGCATCGGCAGGAATTTGCGCCGTAGTCTTAGACTTCGGTCGCGGAATAGGAACGTGCTTAGCATCGCTCAAAGAAACAGCCTTAGTCTTAGCTATAGGCTTAGGAACCATTTCCAGAAAGTCGAGTCTAAGACTCAGACAATGGGCGAGTAACTGCTGCGGCGCAATGTGAGGCGAGGACCGAACAAATGATCGTCGATACCAAAATGTAACAGCCGTCTCTTACCTTAGCTGTTTTAGCGGAAGTAGAGGGTCTCGTCCACGATTGGCGACCCAGCGTTAGGCGTGAGAAGAGACAAGGGAAGTCAGGATTCGAAGACATACGTCGAGAACGGTGACAGCAAGGTCTTGAACCCTGAACACTAGTATAGTGATACGTTAAGTGTCTGGCCGAAGCACTTCACCTGGGTGGCTTAAATGCGGCCCACCTGCCGCCATCTCCATTCCTGGAGTCTTGGTGTCGTACGCTAGGTTGTGATAGCGTACCAGAAAGTGAGTTCGTACAGTTAACGAGTATGGTTCGTAAATACGGGACCGTACCGTTACTGTGATTAAGCTTTAATAGCTTAAAGATATTCTAAGGTAAATGTAGCTTGCTACAATACCCCTTTTAGAACTGCTTGAAAAGGACTCACAGTATCCTGCATGCTTCCTCCTACTTACTTGGAATTGCTTGAGTATGAAGAACACAAGGAGATGAGGAGAAGATGACAAAGAAGAAGAAGAAGAAGAAGAAAGAGAGCAGCAGATATAAATTAACTTGGAAGTCTCTTTTGAAGATCTATGCACAAAGGAAGTTGGAAGGTAAAGCCTTAGTAGTAAACTATGTAATTAATAAGTTGAAAAGGCAGAACGGTATTCAAGGATCTGAAACAAAACAGTAAAGGTTTTTGGAGGCTGATGGCGGGACACCTAGAGGACTACCCTAGGAATGCCTAGTTCACATGCAGACATGACCATGACGGTGGGTCAGCTTAACGAAACTTTACTGTTGAGGTCTGGCCCAAAATGGTTACAAAGGACACCAAATTGTTCAGCCTAGTTACTTTTATCAGGGTTTCAGCCAAAGAAACATTGCAATATTTACTTTTACCCAAGTCACCATTTTGTCTGGTTACCTTGGGAGAAAACTCACAAGATTGAGCCCCAGAAATACTTAGGGAAATACCAGTTTTTCATTCTGCCTCATCATGCCCCAGTCCAGGAAATGCTTGAAAAAGTCATATTCTTGTGTTTTGCAGCAGTCCACATATCCATTTCATATTTTACTATCTGCTTACTCCTCAAAAACCTACAAATGCCCTCAGCCCAAAGTAGGACTTGCATCATTTTTCAAAGTTGGCTGACAAGAAGAGGAAAATGTCCTTTTGGACCCTACCTAAACATGCCCCAACCCATGAAGCACCTTCAATCCACCATATCAACTGATATAATGATAGTCCCATGAACTAAACCCTGCCTAGCTTCCACTGATATCCACACAGCCTAAGTAGTAGTTTTAGTCCCAAGTAAACCCTAAGGCTGGCAGGCTGGCAGGTTGGCAGGCTGGCAAGGCTGGCAGGCTGGCAGGTTGGCAGGTTGGCAGGCTGGCAAGGCTGGCAAGGCTGGCAATGCTGTCAGGCTGGCAAGGCTGGCAAAGCTGTATACATGACCTGTAGCATCAGTCCTCAGTTCAATTCTGTAACGAACATCAGCATAGGTCCAAGTCCTCTCGCTTGGAGGAATATATGCAAACAAACACCTTTGGATACACACTTGGAAGCAGCGGTGGAATGAGAAAATGAACATTCCGGAGAGGTCGGCCCAGAGAGGTAGAACCAGTATAAAAAAGATAGTCTGCCATACGAGACAAGGGTTCCTTTAAGATACAAAGTATTAAACCTCTAGGAATGAAGTCCATGGCCACAGATGTTGCCGTGCACACTGCCAAAGAGGCTGTCAACTGCTGTATCCTTCTGATAATGCCACAAAAGCTAATGCAGCACAAGCTGCATACACGTGTGATATGACACAGACATAATAGTAACAATTTCACAATTCAGTCTCCCACTCCCCTTCCATCTGGCCTCCCGTCCCGGTGCTGGCCTTAGTCACATTTCCACTGTGGCCACATAGCTGAATGCCACATGGCTTTAAAAGCAACCCTGCAAGTGCCATGCTCAGAAGTCAACAAGTCTTAAGAGATGCCACCTCGTGCCGCCTTCTGTGCAGCCGCTGTGCCACACATCGCGGCCAGCTGCGCAACAGAGAGCCGTGGCCCGATACTGCTAGCAGGCGCCGCTGCTGCTGTACCACCACTCGCCGGCCCAACTGCACTGGTGGTCTCGGCCTTCCGATCACTAATGCCCCTCTCCACTGGCCCACTGGCCCCACCACCAGCCGTCTCTTGCCCACCAGTGGCAGCAGTGCTCACTCCCTCTCCACCTTGACACACCGGTTCAGAAGTGTGCCGGGGCTCCTGCACGGTAGTCTGCTCCTGGCCTGATGGTTTGGTCCCTAGGCCAAGCCCGACCACTGGGTGTTGCACTGGTGCTGCAGAGCTTAAAATGTGGAGGTTGCACCGGTCCACGGGCACAGGGGTCACCCTCTTCGGCTTAGTCGGTTGGGCATGTGGCTGCTGAGGGAGCTGACCAGCAACCACGGCAGCATCATGGCACCGTGGTGCTGAGGCCGCGAAGCTGCCGCCAGTGTAATCCCTTGGCGGAGCACTGCTGGGCGGTGTGCCAAATACCAAGACCTGCACGGCAGTGTGCAAAAGATAGGGCGCAGGTGCCAGAGACAGTGTCCTACAAGGTATTGTGTTAAATGACATCTGATGCATGATGATACAAAAGAATTGGCTGTGATTAGCAGTTGAGTGGTGCTTAGGTTGCGTGGAAGACGTGGGCAGACTTTTGCTACCCAGGTCCTCCAGGTGCCTCCATGGAAATAGAGGAAAGACAAGGGCACGACAAGGTGCTGATGCAATGTGGGGCATGAAGGTGAGTGACACCACCAGTACTGGTCAGCCACCCACCATCACCATATCAAGTGGACAAACAGGAATGGGAACACAAAACAGGTCTGCATGGTGCTGTCCAGCCGGCAACAAATCTCAAGCGATTGTTCAGAAATAAGGTGTAATGTGATGACTTGTTCCAAGCCATAAACATACTGAAACATAGCACAGGTCCAAGCGAACCCGTTCATCAACCCCATTCGGGCCAACCCCTGCAACCATGGCGAAAAAGACGCTGTGATAAAAGAGGCAATGAACCTACCTGTGGTGTTGGCATCTTTATGGCTGACCCAGGTGCCGCCACACCCGGCAACACTACACCGCCTGTGAGCGGTGTGCGAGACACTGCAGCAGCCATGGCACTTCCGCCTGTTGATGGAGATAAGCCACCCCCCCCAGGTCCTGTTAGACCTGCTGCAACGGCAGCAGCGGCGGGGACGCCACAGGCCAAGGCCCCCGGGGCAGGGTGGCTTACTCCGGCGGGTCCATCTACCCGGGTAGGCATGATGCGGCGGCGAATGGGGGATGATGGCAATGGAGCAGCCGAGTTCCCGGCAGCAGGCACTGCCACCGCGGCACCAGCGCTGCAGCTGTCATTCGCTCGGGTAGGACGACTAGCAGCGACCGGTACTGCTGCATTCAGCACTGTTGCCGATAGGGGGATGGGCTGAATGCGCTTCGGTTTGGGTCTGCCTTCTGCACCGCCACCAGCGACTCCGGCTTCAACTTCTGCAGGGCGCTTTGCACCAGCCGTGGTGGTGGCACCGACACGGTTTTGGGTCGAACCGGCGCCTGCAGCGCAAACCGTGATAGGATGTGCGCGATGTGGCGCCATGGCAGCGCTAGGAGGTACCTCTACCGGGGCTGCTGGCAGCTGCCCTTCCGTTTCCTCGGCCAGCACGGCAGGGGCCGCCACCCCGGCAGCAGCAGTTGTCACCGCCACCCCGGCTGCAGACCTTATGGATGCAGCCGCAGTCCACTCTTGCAGCCGCCGCGCTGCTGTGTGTGACACAGCTGCCGCCACACCCGGCGGCAGCTCCTGCAGCGGCAGCGGCTCCCCCAGCTCCCCGTCTTCGAAGGAGCACACAGTGCAATACCCGTCCCTGCATCGGTCATTGCTTAGAGTTTTAACCCTTGCTGGTCTTTGCTGGTGTCAATAGGTTATGAGCCCCGAATGGCGCATTGCGCTGCCGGGAGGTCGCCGGTTCGATACCCACTGGCTGTTGTCCAGAGAATGGGTGACCGGGATGAGGCACGGGAAGGCCCCGAGCGAGAGAGTGTCACTCACGGGGGGACAAACGAGCTGAAACAGAGGCCAGGATCCACTACACCCGGCTGTGCTGGGCCAATGGTTCAGGGATGACTTCCCTTCCCAGCGACTCGCCTCTTTTTTATCACTCCCTTGCGGAGAGTGATAGGGTGAGACTGATAGAGCCGCTGCACCTCCATGCCCACACATCCATGCGCTTTGCGCCATGCACGTTTACGAGTTCCCTTACCACACTGCCTCTGCCTGGATATGGAGCGGGTCCACCAACTATTTGACGTTCGTTCCCACCTAATTTGAAACCATCCCGAGCCCATTCAACCCACCTTGATGCCACCACAAGGTAGCGACCGTCATCTGACCAGGCCAAGTCCGTAACGGCCGCATAATGAATGCCGCCTAACACCGCTAGAGGCTCCAGTGCCTAAAAAGGCATGTGGGAGGGGTCGGGGAGCTGAGAGGCGCGAGGAACAGCTGGGGGTGAGGGGCGGTGATGGTGATTACCCAGAACGGCGGGGCACGACGATGAAGGATGATAGCCCATTACCTGCATGTCGTACAGTACGACGCTGTCAATGGATGCTATCGCCATGATAATCCTGTACGGCAGTCGCGACGCCGTGAGGCGCTGCTGCTGCTGTTGTGATGCGCGGAAGAGTTGGGGGCAGAAACGCACCACCAGAGCTCCCTTGCTGAGGCAGGGCAGACTGAGCGCAGGACTCGACCTGAAAAGATGGGCAGGATGCATAAGGTCATATGGATCAAAACAGGCGGGCTGGTGAGACCTATCACCAGGTGCAAGCCGCAGACTGCGGATGCAGCTGGTAACGTACAACAATAGCAATGGCCTACACCTGGATGTCAAGACCTATTTGCAGCATGACAAACTAAATTGCCGCTGACCCGACCAAAGTTAAGCGCCACTCGGCGGAGTGGCACCTACTGCATGTAGCCCCAAGACCAGTTGACCCCATGTGCGAAACCAGACCGCGCATATCTGCACGGACCAGGTACCTACCACTGCATCAACTCTGTAACGCTAGAAGATATGTAATCGAGCAGAGTCACACACCTACTCTCGTCCACAGCCCACGACCGCCCCTTCCCATCCACCCAACCACCGCCGTACCAATCGCCCCTTGAAAAGACGTGGGTTGTGCTGGTGGCAGGTGCGGAGGCGGCAGCCCTGCGGTGATGGTGGGTTTTTTTGACACGGCGGAATTCACAACAGTGTAAATGTTGGCTGATACCGGAAAGGAGGAGCAGGTTTTGACCATGGAGACGGAGCATGGAGCATGAGGGCCGGGTCGGGGGTTAGCATCCAGGAGCCAAGAATGTTACTTGAGGCTTGCAGTGGCTGGCCGGCAAAAAGGCTCGTCCATGGAAAAGGGTTGTATGAGGGGAAAAGTGCACTGTGCCCCGTTGGTGTGTAACCTACCGGGTAGGCATCCTACCGGGGCGCGCACCTATCTGTGGCTACAGCCCGAGAGGGGCAGCGTAGACACCATCTCCACGGAAAACGCGGGGAAGAAATCCTAAGCAGAAACTAACTTGCACATCCCTGTGTAAGGTATTAATCACCGGACGGACCCCGTGGTGCCCACTTGCCTACTGCCCCCCCTACCAGGTATGTCACAGCAAAGCACCCAAGTGTGATGACCCGGTCTGGGAACCGCACGAATACTCGATTGTATCACCGAGCTATGAGTACAGCACAGCTTGTTCCCGACGCACCTGTAGACGCCCGCAGGCGCCGCCAGGAATGCCCCGTCCGGTGACCAGGCCAGGCGGCGGAAGAAGGTGGGCAGCGAGTCATCGCTGAAGAGGGGCTGCTTAGCGGTCCCAGCTGCAGCAGCAGCCAAGCAAACAGCACCAACGGCGATACCACTCAGAACATGGCGTGACATTGCACACTCGAAACGGAGATCCACCACCGCATGTTAGTAAAATTGATGTAACTTGGTTTTTGTATGCCAAAGGCAATATTGCTGGCTACTGAATGAGCAGTGACTGTGGGAACAGCCAGAGGCAATACAGGTTGTCGATTGGAGGTTTGGCCCACATGCACATGAAGCCCGACGCTTCCGAGGCTTCCATACAGCAATAGACGCAGTAACTGGACGCAACGAAATACATTGATGACAAGGTTTGGGTACTACACAAACGGCAACGCATTGTACACAGCATGTTGTACACATATAAGTGTGAACTGCCCATGCAATGCGGGCAATGCGACCCTATGTCCACCACACACTGCCACTCGGTCCTAGTCCACATAGCGTTCTCATGGGAGGTGTAAAGGCATCTCGCCTAGCCAATACTGCGCAACCACAGGTTGGCACACTGAGGGCCCCCGCAGCGCTCCTCCACCGGGGTGACCAAACTCGGGAGGAAAACCCCTACTAGTACGCCCCTCCCACGAGGTGACATGACGAACTGTCACTTACCCACCTCCCCCCAGTCCTCCAGCTGCCTCCCATCCCGCGAACTGCACACCGTTTCACGGCAACCCTCCCTGCACCACTTCTGCACGGGGACCCACCTGTGGTTTGAGCAGCAGTAGCAGCAGCAGCAGTAGTGGCCGGCATCTCGCCCTGCACGTCTCCTCCCATTGTCACGCCACCCGCTGCCGCTGCAATAGCACCCGCTGCCGCCGGTTGTTGCTGAGGCACAACTGGCAGCGGCCCCTTAGCCAGCGTGGCGGCCGCGTAGAAGCCGTCGTGAGCTAGGGACGCCGACATCACAACAGAGGCTGCCGCCCCGGCACACTTCGCCCCTGCAATATCCATCCACCTAGCTCTCGTTACACTCCCAAACATTGGGAGCTATCTCCGGTCAGCTGCTGCTGCCCCGCTCCCTGCCGCTGCACACACATTCGCATGCATACGGGACTTACCTCCCTCACCAGCCGCTGCCGCCACCGACTGCGGCGGCGGCTTCACGGAGTACACCCGGGCGGTGCGGTCGGCCAACTGAGAGGCGATGTAGCGGCCGAGGGGGTCCCACGCCACTCCCTGGACGTAGTGGCCGTGGTCCTGGAGCCACTTCTGCAGGGGTACGGGTATGGGAGTAGAGGTGTTGTCAAAGACCCAAAGGATATAGCTCTACGAGTGCACATCTCAGCAGGTTGATGAGAACAGGTTCTATAGCAGGTATAGGCAGGTAGAAAAGCAAGTTAACGACACCTTAAGCAGTTAACAGTGGTCACACGTGCAGCATGCCTTGGCGGCCGGTAGTCCGTGCATGTTAGCAGAAAATGCAAGAAGCCCGTCTTCCCATGTCACATGCCGTAACCCTACGGAAGGTCAGGCCAGCAGTGCACGTAGACACAGAGCACCCATCTGCCGCTCACCAGCGACTTGCGCCCGTCCACATCCCACAGGATGCAGTTGTTCTCGATGCCGCCGCTGAGCAACGCGCTGCCGTCGGGGGCCCAGGCCAGATCCAGGACATCGTCACAGTGACCCCGCAGAAGGCCCACTTGGCGCCAGATGCCACTAGCGGCGGCACTGGCGGCGCAACCATTCGTGGCCGCGGCCCCTGAGGTGAGGAATGAGCGACAGGGCGCGTGTGTGGGACAGGGCATGACTCTGGTGGACTTCCCGCACCGTGAGAGGGAAAGGCAAAAGGATTAGGCCAATGCTCACATACCTTCGCCGCTGCTGATGTCCAGTTGGCCCCGTTGATGCTGTTGCTGCTGTGCACCCGCCGCAAACATGGCAAAACGCCAGAGCAAGACCTCGCCTTTATCACCCGCACTGGCCAGCAAGTCACCTGCGTCAACGGCGTTGGTGAATGCTGTTAAGCAAATGGGTGTTTGTGAGCCCCAGAAAGTCAACGACGTATGGCAGGGCATTGCACCCTGTGTGCGACCTGTGGGCTCGGTTCGCTAACCGAAGTGAGCATTGTCCTCTCCACGGCGACACCCAAGCCCTAAACGTTCATTTAAACGTTCATTTCTAATGATGAACAAATCTGATATGAAGGAATGGAAGGAATCAATCCCTAAGTGCGCACCTGTTGGAGAGAACCTTACACAATTCACGGACTTGCTGTTCACAGGATAGCTACTGAGGAAGCGGACGCCCGGGCATCCATCTTCCTCGACGACCACTTCCCAGTGCTGCGTATGCAGGGTGTTCAAAGCGACGCGTGCAGTAATGAATCGGAGCCTTACGCGTGCATTCTCAAAGTGCGCTAGACCAGCGCACGCACAGCACGGAATAAAGGCAGCATTTACCCTCCGCGGAAAGGCGACTAACAAGCGTGACTATGGTCATAACGAGCAAAAGAAAATTAAACTGTTGGAGCCCTTCGTCATGCATAGCATCCCCTTGCGAACGCACCTTGACTTCGCCGTCCTGTCCGCCCGAGACTAGGGTGTGGCTGTTTGGCTGAAAGTCAACGCTAAGAACAGGTTCTTTTCCATGCCAGACAATCTGCAACGTCTTCAGCTGCATAGAGACAAGGCTCGCTGCACTTCTGTTTCCAAAACAGGTCCGTCAAGCTTGCTACGCGGTCAGCACTGAAGCCATAGGATGAAGTTGCAAATGTATCGAGGCCAATTGATTTTGATAAGCCTGTACAAGGCTGCCGCAAGTCCCTTCAAACACAGCGTGCAGCTTAAGAAATCCGCGGACGCTAAAACTTTGGCCAGTAATATCTGCGTCACACTGGAGCGGCGGTGCTAAGAAAAGGTAGTGAGAGAAAGACCTGCATCCAAATCGGTCACTTGCCGGCTATGCTAGCGCGCCAATTCGGATGTACGACATGTACGCTTTCCTTTTGGCTGTTATAGAAGCGGAGGTAACACATTGCAGTCTTTATACGATGATCAATGAAAGGCACCACCCGGCTCAATTTGGAGGCCCGGAAGAGATGCTTGGTTTTGTAAATTTGGCAGACCGGCTGGTGGTACTTACTAGGGCATAGTTTACTAGCCGAGAATAGAGGTGCAGCAGACGAGGCGCTAAATGTGACTGCAAAGCCTTCACGGCCTTTAACAGCTGATAAGGTCGCTGCAGTACTGGAAGGCCTAACGAGTAGCATGTATAGCAGCTGTCTCGCGAACTGAAAAGGCGTCCAGCGGCTGTGAACGGTTTGCCAGGCGGCTACACAGTCGTAGCGAGAGCCTGCTTAATCTCTGTACTGTACTGCATGTACTACAGGTAAAGGAGCGCGTTCGTGTGGAGCGTGTTCATGTTCGGTGTACAAGCGTACATGTCAGACACAACGAGGATTGCAGCTGGCGACGCGCGAGGAAAGTGCTACGCGTCGGTTCTGGAGCGGGGCCGAGAAGCTGAATCTATGCCGTGCAGCTTTGGGCCACAATCATAGCCTGGGCGCGCAGCATTAACATCTTGCGTTGCGCACTTCGCCGACCGGTAATGATATGCCAGATCAGCATGATTTAATAATGTATTATGTTAGTGAAGTTTAACAGTGATACAGGGAACGTTTTCAATCCAAACAAGGTCTTAAGCAGGGATGCCGCCTCAGCACTGAGTTGTTCGGGTTGCTTAGCGAATTCTTGCGGGCATGGTAGAAGAGAATGAGAGAGAAGAGCGCCGTCGAGTTTTGATGGCCCCTACATCGACGGCGACGCAGTATCACTATTGCATTATATTGATGATGACAGCCTTCTGGCTACTCTCTCGGAACGCATGCAACCCCTGCTCGGTATTAGATGGGTTTTCAGCTCGTTCGGGGCTTAAGCCTTACGTCGATCTTATGTTTTTTGCCCACTGCAAGCAAACCGAAAGCGCGGGCCTAGGGGACTGTGCCGGCCTGCGGCTGGAAGGAGAAGCCCTCAGAAGGGGGCGCCTCGGTACTTCGGCTTAGCCTACGCGGACCGGACAAAGCCTTTCCTACTAGTCCAACGGCCCTCACCGAGGACGAGTGGGGTGCTTATTAGCCAAGCTAAACAGGCTTCTGACCTAGATCTGGCATGCAACTCTACCGCAGGATGTCCTCTTGGCGTTGGGGGGGAACTCGCAGGTGGTTGGGCGTCCAAGCTGTTCCGCTTTTTAGAGACCTTACATTTTGGTGTGTGGGATGGATTACCGGCTGGGGCTACAATCGGTAACAGAAAGGTAGAGTGGCGACACTGGACAACCCAGCCTGGAGGGGCCAACCCTTACTGAGCTCCGTCACCCGTTCGTGTCGTCATGGAACCACGAGAGGCTGTGGACGGGGCATTAGGATGGCTAAATACAGGCACTGGATGGGTTTACCGTTTGAGGAAGCGGCTGGAGCAAGCTGGTTGCCGCGTGCCAGTATGTTTATCCCTGTTAATGCATCGGTTGTTCGTTTATGCTGCTGGCCGTCAGAAGCAAATACAAATGACACAGCACTAAAGTGGATGTCCCAATGGGGACTCCCTTCGGTTTCCCCACTGGGGACTCCACCGAAGGGAGCCCAAGGGTGATGAAACCCAATGGCTAAAACCCTTTGCGGGTAAGGGCTATGTATTTTGTACCCTAGGACAGCCGGCGGTGGGGTTCCCTATAGCCCATGTATATGCCCTGTAATTACAGCCCCCCTTACGGCCCCCATTACAGCCCCCCTTACGGCCCGTAAACTGGACAGGCCCATTAGCGGCTCAAGCCATAACGGGCCCGCCAGCGTTTGTACGGGGGGTAAGCGCCTATGGGTCCGTGTATGGGGCTACGTGCTCCCATTGGGCAGATGAGGCGACTCAGTGAGCGATACATACAAACTTTTCGAGTTTTTAGTTCACCCACGGTGCCGCATAATATCCACCCGTAATCACTGGGTATTCACCTGTAATTGTGCGAGTAATTGGTTACATGCGCCCGTAATTCACCTGCAGCACCGTGTAATATCCACCCGTAATCACTGGGTATTCACCCGTAATTGTGCGCGTAATTGGTTACATGCGCCCATAATTCACCTGCAGCACCGTGTAATATCCACCCATAATTCCGGGGTAGTCGCCCGTAAATGTTCACCCGTATCCTTGTGCTCAAATTACGGGACCCATAACGTGTTACAGACCCGTAATTTCTGTCAAATTACGGGTGGATTGACCCAAATTTACGGGTAAAATGACCCCCGTTTTCCCAGAGTGTTGAAGACCCAAGTTGTTGGAAATATGGTTCTTCAAGTACTCCGTCATATGATAGTAAGTGCTGCTGCAGTATCTTCTTTGTTATTGCTTTGCATGTCAAAAACTTATGTCTGGACAACTTTTTTGCTTCAGGCATGTCTTCCAGGATTCTCATTGAACTGTGTCCCAAGAGGTGGCCTCAATGATAAGTTTCTTTGGGACGACCACACTTGGTCAGCAGTTAAAAACTCACTGGCAAAGACAACTGTCAGAGCACAGGCATTTAAGGCCTGGCCAGTACTGTTCAATCTCGACTATAACAGTATAAAGCATCTTGGGCTTTATTGCTTTGATTCAATGGAGGCTGCAAAGCGGGTTCTGCATGAAGAATTAAGGGAGGAGGATATGATGGCACTCGACAGGTAAGCTTTCCTTAAAGGGTCAACATGAATTTTTGGGTTTTGGGTTTTTATAGGGTTTGGGGACTTTACCTGCTTTCCGAGGAGTTTGCCCTTAATGCTTGTGGGTTTAGGGTTTAGGGTTTGCCCTTAATGCTGTGTATAATTTAATGTTTAAAACTAATATATTATGCAAAATCTGCAGGTGGTATGAGGGTTGGAAAGTTGTTATCAGGAATGCAATGGCGAAAGCAAGTCCAATGACCATGGACTGTCTTTTTGAAACCCATGAGGAGCAAGTTCTCCTTCAGCTATTTGCATGTGACCGGGTATGGATCTATATTGAAGACTACTTTGACAAGGAGCCTATTCTGCAGGCAGCTCTTAAGGTTCACCATGGTCAGCATGCAGATCCAGCTCCATCTAATATTCAAGAAGCTACTGCAACAGCTGAAATGCAGGCAGCAGTATCTTCTAGATACAATATATCAAGCCATGGTAACTTTGATGCTGGATACAGCTTCTTTGCTATTTTTGCAGTACATGTTCAGCCTTGTACTGGAGAAGACAAACCTTGGGAGGTGTTGCATTTACAGAATGATTTACACCAGCCTCCTGGAAGTGGTAAAAATAATTGCAGGTTTACAGCTGGGCCTATGACTGTATCTCTGCCAACAACACAACTTGGATGTGAATATGATAGTAAGTATACAAGAGAAGTAAATGATATTTGGTTTTGTTTGTGAGGACTTACGATTGACTTGTTATTGTAGGTTTTTATGCAACAAAGGTATGGACTTCATATGGCTATCAGGGCTATCATCCACAAGGTTGCCCCTCTCTTGGTCATACCTTTCTTGTGCGACCAACTGACAGAATCATAAATCATATTCGGCAGAAGTTTATTGGTCCAAGCCTTAATGGTATCTCCACATCACCTCTTTTCAGCAACAAGGTTGATCCTGTGGCATCTTGTACATCAGAGCTACAGGCTGTAGTTCGTCTGGAGCATAGTATGGGTGTCATGGCATTACCTATAAATGGTCATCATGTGCATTTTTTAACCTACCATCCATTATTTTACCACACACCAAATATTTTATTTGGAATGGATGAGCTGGAGCTGCTTAGCAGGAGGTTACAGAAGCTGGTTGCATTTCAGCATGGTGGTACAGGAGATAGTAAACCTCTCAGTGACCGGCTACTCTCTGCTCTATGGAGTGGGCTTCTTGAGCAGGTTGCTGATATGAAAGCTGCAATTCAGAAGAGGATATCAACTATTGAAGAAATTCATAATCCTTTGCGACTGGAATGGGGGGCTGTGGCTATTGAAGACCCAAGAAATGGATCTCATGATGCATCAGTGCATGATCTTCTGAAAAACTTATCAAGGGAGATCCTGTACAGTGTCTGGACCTTCCATGCCAAGCGAGCGATGACATATATCCTGACATCACTTTGGGTACCTTGTGTTTCAAATGCTCTTGGCAGTTGGAGAAATCATATGTAAGCTCTGAGGGGTTCTCCACAGCATACATGATGATATTAAACCAACTGCCAAGAGCATTTGAAACCCAAAGTACCCAAAGTGACGTTGGGATATATATCATCTCTCGCTTGGCATGGAAGGT